CCAACACCCCCACACCTGCCTGCGAGTGACACCCATGTGGCTGGGGGCATGGGGCAGGGCTGGGTGTGCCCTGCAGAGCCCTGGCACCACGGGGCTCCCAGCCCATAGGGCAGCCTTTGCCTTCCCCCTCTGTCCTCCCCAGTCAGGGTAAAGCACCCAGCGTGGGGATCCAGGGATCCTCAACAGCACCTGAGAATCCCCCCCATCCTCCCCTCCCCATCCCCCATCTGGGACACCTCACTGACCTCGGTGATCCCATGCATGGGTAGGGAGTCCCCCTTGAGATGGGGTACGAAGCTGGGGGAGGGGGCTGGAGAGAAGGTGGGGCTATGGGGGGGCTTGTCCCTGGGATGGGGGGGAGGGGAGTTCTCCACAAGTTAGGGATGAGGTCGGGGGGCAGGGAGCTGGTGGAGTTCAAGGGGATGTGGGAGGGGCTCCTGCCCGGGGTGGAGTGAGATGGGGTGATGGGAGCAGGGCTCCCTGTGATGAGGGTGGGGTGCTGGGGAGGGGGTTCCCCGCAGGACAAGGGGGCTCGGTCCAGGTCTGATCGTGCCCGGGGCTCCCTCCCCAGCGTTCATGTTCCGCTTGGACGCCAGCACCTGTCACCAGAACCTGAAGGTGGAGGAGCTGAGCGTGGAGTGGGACGCCATGGGGGGCAAGGTGCAGGACATCAAGGCCCGGGAGAAGGACGGGAAGGGCAGGACGGCGTCCCCGGTGAACTCCCCCGCCAGGTAAAGCCCCAGCCCTCTGCAGCACACGCCCACACCCCGCAGCACGGAGGGGACAGAGAAGCTGAGAATAGCCGGAGGCTCGGGAACGGACATGTCCTGTCCCAAAGGCCTCAGCCCCCAGGCCCTGGGTCAAACCCAGCCATACAGCCAGGGGAAAGGGGTACGGGCCCAGTCATGGACCAATCCCCCGGGGCGGATCCAAGGGGGTCATGGAGGAAGCCGGGGTGCAGGATCCACCCTCTAAGCTGTTCTCAGGGGACAGGACCTGGGAAGCCGGACGGAGCCAGGGGGTTGGGCCCTGGCCTGTCATTGAGAGATGGCAGAGTGAGGGCAAAGGCCGGGAAGGAGCCTCAGGGTGAGGGCAAGGGGACCCTGTCCCTGGGGCAGGAAGCGGGGCTGCAGCTTGTCTGTCTGTCCCGCCTTCTGTAGGTGCCTGCAGTCTCCGAAGAGGATGCCCTCGGCCCGCGGGGGCAGGGACCGCTTCACGGCCGAGTCCTACACAGTGCTGGGTAAGGGGGCAGGGAGTCTGTGTGTGTGGGCGTGGGGCAGGTTACACCGTCATGGGGGGTGGATGCGGGGGGGAAACAACGTCGCCTGCTGGCGAGTGGGGCCCCTGGGGGGCCCGTGAAACTCAGTCGCGTGTGCCAGGCGCTGGAATCCTCATCTGATTGAAAACCAGACTGTATGCTGGGGGGTGATCGGGGGGGTAAAGGGGCGGGGCAGCCACGCGCTGGAATCCTGATCCAATTTAAAACCAGACTGTGTGCTGGGGGGCGATGGGGGGGGGTTAAGGGGGCGGGGCAGCCAGGCGCTGGAATCCTGATCCGATTGAAAACCAGACTGTGTGCTGGGGGGTGATCGGGGGGTAAGGGGACGGGGCAGCCTGGGATCCCCGTGGTCCCTGCTCCCTCCACCCATACATGTGTGGGCGGGGGGGCGCTGGGATCCCCGTGGCCCCCCTGACCCCCATCCCTCCGCAGGCGACACGCTGATTGACGGGGGAGACCACTACTGGGAGGTGAGGTACGACCGGGACAGCAAGGCCTTTGGCGTGGGCGTGGCCTACAGGACCCTGGGCAAGTTCGACCAGCTGGGCAAGACCTCGTCCTCCTGGTGCGTCCACCTCAACAACTGGCTGCAGGTCAGCTTCACCGCCAAGCATAACAACAAGGCCAAGGTCCTGGACGTGCCCGTGCCCGACTGCATCGGCGTCTACTGCAACTTCCACGAAGGTGACGCCGTGTGTGTGTGTCTGTCTGTCCTCTGCCCCATGCTGGGGAGCCCTGGTCTGCTTGGGTCTCTCCGTCAATGGCCCCAGAAACCATGGGCCTCTTTCCAGCCCCAGCCAAGGCAGCGGCAGGGCAGGGCAAACTCCCCACCCCTCCCAGTGAGCCCCAGCCCTGTCCCCGCAGAGTTCTGTCCCCGCTGCCCAAACTGCCCGAGAGCCCCTGCTTGTCTGCCTCGGTCGATTCCAGCTGGTGACCTGGGGCTGGGCTGCCCGGCGGGTTCCTGGCAGCGGCGTGGGCGGGTGCGAAGAGCAGCTTGCACGGCTGCTGCCTCTAGCCCCGCTGGGGCTCGGTGTCTGCGTTTGGGCCTTGCCCGGATGTGGCTGCGTCGGGGTAGAAATTCCCAGAACTGGGCAGCCCCTCTAGGCCTAAGCTTCCCCACGCGATCAGACGCTGACGCCCTTCCCAGGCCGCTGGGGCTGGAACGGCAGCCTGGGAAGGGGGTTGCAGTTTCTCAGGCTGGGCTGGGCCTGACCCGAGGGCTGAAGGGGAGGCCAGGGGTGAGAAATCCCCCCCCTCCCTCCACCGTACATCTTTGCTTGGCTGCTCGGCCCTCCTCTTCTGATTCTTCCTGTGTCTGCCCACAGGTTTCCTGTCCTTCTACAACGCCCGAACCAAGCAGCTGCTCCATACGTTCAAGGCCAAATTCACCCAGCCGGTGCTTCCTGCCTTCATGGTAAGGGGCTGTTCACGGGGTGGGGGTGGGGGACACTGTGGCTTGGGGCTCTGGGAGAGGAAGCTGGGGTCCAGATGCTCTCCCCTCCCTGGTCAGGGAGGGTTACTGCATGAGCCCGGCCCTTGGGGTGGTAGTGGGGGTGGGAAAGGAGGAGGGTGGACCCCACTGATTCGGCTCCAGCCCCTCCCCCAGGAGGGCTCACTTTGCCTTGTTTCTGGCTCGTTTTCTGGGCCGGGGTCAGACCCAGCGCCCAGCAAAGCCCTCAGATGCTAGAGACGAGAGTCAGATGGCTCAGCTGCCTCTGCTGGGACACTGCTGTGGGGGGAAGCTCGCAGCACCAGAAGGCCCAGCTGTCTTAGAATGGGCATAGCTCACCAGACAGTCTGCTAGCTTGGTGGCTAACAAACCGTGGTTTGCCGGGGGACAGCGAATGGGAGGGGAGGTTTCTACGGGCCAGTCTCTCCCTGGTAATAATAATTAGTTCGATGGAGTGCTTTTCCTTAGACCACCTCCATGCGCTTCACAATCTTTAACATATGTGAGGTGGACTGGGCTTCAGGAGGCCTGTGTTCAAGTCCTGGCTCTGCCACTGGGTGGACTCTGGGCAAGTCACTTTGCTGTTGCGGGCCTCAGTTTGCCTATCTGTAACATGGGGATAATCTTGCTCTGCCTCCCAGGGACAAGTGGGAGGTAAAAGCCATGGCCGGGAGCGAGACACTCAGAGTGAGATAAATATCTGGCTGCTGTGACGCCTGCAGCCCCCCTTTTCCCTGGCTGTGGCAGCCCCCGCATGCCATGCCTGCTGGGGATGGCGCCCTCTTCAGGCGGCTGCAGTAACTGCCTCCTTGTCCTCCCTAGGTTTGGTGCGGCAGCTTCCACGTCTATTCTGGACTGCAGGTCCCCAGCACTGTCAAATGCCTCCAGAAGCGAAACAGCGCCACCAGCAGCTCCAACGCCAGCCTGACTTAGACGCACGTGGCCCCCTGGCGCGGTGGGACCGGGCCACCTCCTGGCTCCCGGGAACCAGGGAAAGACGCACGGTGGCCTGTTGAGTTGTCTTTCCTCCCGGTTCCTGGAAGGCTGCTCGAGGCGGAGAGGCTGGTGCTGCAGCCACTCGAACGCTCTGAATGTACCGAGACTTATCTACCTACGATTGTAAACCTCCCTCCCCCTCCCAGAGCATCCCTTCCCGCCTCCTCACACTTGCCTTTAAGAGACAGGGGCACGTCCACGAGCCAGCCTCGTGCCAAAAGCAGGCCGTGCAGATGACCGCCTTTAAGCGCACCCCGGTCTCAAGTCCAGGGGATGGGGCCTCCTCTGGCTGAAAGCGTTTGGTGTGGTTTTTTTTTTTTTTTGGTCCTGGCAGTCATAAAACCCGACGCTTAAAGGTGGTACCGGGAACGTGGGCACTCGTCTGCTTTTAGAGCCCGTTAGCCTCTCGGATGACAAAAGCTGCTTCTGGCCTTAATAATAAACCTAGCGCTAGGCACAGCCGTCCCCTCTGCTGTCTGGTGTCAGCTTGTGCTCGGGCGAGCCAGTGGCGGTCGGGGGCCAGGCGCGGGGAAGGGACGACGGCGTCTTTGCCCCTTGCTGCTCCCGCCACGAGGCACCGTTAAAATCTGGCGCTGGGCTGCCCGCATCATGCGGCTGCCTCACGTCTAGGGGCAGGGGAAGGGGGGCAGCTGGCTCCCAGCAAGGACGGGGGAAAGGCCTGATGCGGGGGGAGGGGCTGACTGCTGAAGGAGGTTTTACATCTAACCCCTCTGCACCACCCCCTGTAACGGAGAAGAGGTCAAAGCAACGCCCCCACCCTGCTTGGCCTGGTGTGGGCTGGAGTGCAGGGCAGTAGCTTCCCACGAAGGGGTAACAGCCTCTCTCTGCGTTAGCCACAGTCCCGCCCTGGCTGCGGTCAGTGGAATAACGTTTCTCCCGCTCTTCCATTTCAGGACCGTGGACGACTGGCGCGGGGATGGGTAGCTGGGGGGTTGGTGGCTGGCTGGGGTCGGCTCAGCTCCCAACCCAGGGGCCCTTTGGGGCAAAGTTTCAGCGGGGGCAGGCGGCGCAGGAGGGTGGGCAGAGGGTTTCCAGGCCGGGCGCCGTCCCGCTCTGGTGTGTGTAACCCCTGCAAGGGATCTGCAGCCATTAGGGCCCGGAAAAGCCCTTTCGGTGCAAAACCCAGCCCCGCAGCCCCTCCGAGCTGAGTCACACAGCACGGCCAAGCGGGAGGCCTTCCCGGCGCTCCAGGCTGGAACTGCACAAGGGCCCACCTGGCTGCCTGCCAGTATTGACACAGGGCGGTGCCAGCCGGTCATGACCCCCTGGCACCCTGGTAAACAGACAGGCCAGCTCAGGGGTGGAGCAAGTCAGTGTGGGCCAGCAGTGGGCAGAAGGGCAATAGTGAATTCAGCCTGGGGCTATAGCCACACTTACCGTCCTGGGCAATACCTTGGTCCCCACAGGAGTGAAGCTGCTTCCAAAATGATAATGCATGGAAAATAAACCCTTTTGTGTGTGGCCGCAAGGCCGAGTAGCCCCCCCCCCAAAACCCACTAGTTAATCCGAATGACTGTTCCAGTACAGCGAGCTGTGAGAATGCAATCCGGGCCTTTGTTACTCAGACAAAGGGCTGGGCCCGTTGGCCGTGGGCGCACTGCTTTGGAAATAAACTAGCTCGTCCTTTACGATGTAGCCGGAGCCTGCTGGCCTGGGACAGCTTTAGCACGCTGCTCAAGCGGTGCATGACAGTGCAGACACCCCCCACCCCACCCCACCCCGAGCAGCTGCCACGGCTAGCAGAGGGAACAGCAGCCAGGTGCCAATTCCAGCTGCCGTTTGCCCTGGCACCCTGCAGAGGGCTGGTCTCTCCCACAGACGCTACCAGCCCGGCTGAGCACCTATCAGGGCTAGCGCTTGGTGCCGCTGTGTATCAACCCCTGACCGCTGCAGCCACCAGCAGGGGCTTGGGGAACCTCCCACTGCAGGGTGGCGGAGATGGCCTCCAAGGGGCAGGATGGTGCAAGGGGAACCCAATCAAGGATGTTTTATACGCTAAACCCCTAATGCCACCTAGTGAAAAACACACATCAAGGAGAAGAGATCAAAGCAACTCCCTGGCTGGTTTGCATCGTCCCTTTGGAATCCAGCAGGGTAAACCCACCGCCCCCATAGTTAACACCCTCCCCTCCATCCTTTCACAGGGACAGTCAAATCCTACCCTTCCTAAAGCACCTTCGCAGTTAGCTCTTGCATTAGTTAAGTCCCAGCGTACAGCCTGGCTTTGGGGCCGAAGGGGGAAGCCCAAAAATTCTCAAGCGGGCCCCGCGCTGTTGGGTACCCAACTTGAGGCAGCCGGCACCTGCTGTTTAAAAGGGCTGAGCCTCCCGCCGCTCCCACTGACTTCCACAGGAATTCAGGGTTCTCAGACCCTCTGAAAACCAAGCCCAAGCTGTCTCAAGTTGGGCACCCCAAAATCACGAGCGACTCACCCAAGGCCACAGAGCACGGCAGTGGCAGAGTCAGGCCTCAAAGCCAGGAGTCTTGACGCCTACCCTCCTGCTCCAGCCTCTGCACCCAATCCCCTCTCCCCAGCCGACGTGACCGCTACTGCAGGAAGCCGGGGCTAGCACCGCTTAGCACCGGCGAGTCGAGGGAAAACGGTCGCTTTAATTAGCAACGTATGCAAAGTGGGTAACAATCACACAGTACAAATCCCTTCCAAAGCACAGACCTCCGTCCAGCCCGAGAGCCAACGAGCCCGTCCTCAGCTGGCGTACAGCACCGCCGCTTTCAAGGCACTACAAGTGCAACATACAGGATGGAGAGGGACGGGCCGTGTGTCACCAAGTCTAGCATCATCGCGCACCATGGCAAGTGCCAAAGACAAGCTGCGCAGGTCCCTGCTTGGAAAAGTCCGGTGGCCAGGCCAGGCTCTCTGGGCCCCTTCTTGCAGAGGTTAGCAGGAAGGGAAGGGAGGCAGCTTGCACAGATCAGAGAATTGCAGGGGGTTCAGGGATAGGCCCTTGCCTGGGAGAGGGAATGATTCATGGCTGAGGCTTTAAAGGGAATTTGACATTTGGAAAAATACTGATTCACCCTGAGAGGAACGAAGGATCTTTCCCCCCCCAAAGGGAATTAGGAAAATTAAGGATCTAAATTAGCTGTTACTGCTCAAAAAAGAGATCTTGGCGCCATTGTGGATCATTGTCTGAAAAACATCTGTTCAATGTGCAGCGGCAGTCAAAAAAGCTAAACAGTGTTAGGAACCATTAGGAAAGGGATCGATAATAAGACAGAAAATATCATAATACCACCATATAAATCCATGATACGGACACATCTTGAATACTGCCTGCAGTTCTGGTTGCCCCATTTCAGAAACGATATATTGGAATTTTGAAAAGATACAGAGAAGGGCAACAAAAATGACTAGGAGGACGGAACAGCTTCCCTAGGAAGAGAGGTTGAAGAGACAGACTTTTCAGCTTGGAAAAGAGACGACTAAGGAGGGATATGATAGAAGGAAGTGTTATTTACCCCTTCACATAACACAAGAACCAGGGGTCACCTAATGAAATTAATAGGCAGCTGGTTTGAAGCAAACAAAAGGAAATATTTCTTCACACAATGCACAGTCAACCTGGGGAACTCGTCGCCAGGGGATGTGGTGGAGGCCAAAAGTATAACTGGGTTCAAAAAGGAATTCGATCCATTCATGGAGGGTAGGTCCATCAATGGCAATTAGCCGAGATGGTCAGGGGCGTAACCCCACGCTCTGGGTGCCTGTAGCCTCTGACTGCCAGAAGCTGGGACTGGATCACTCAATAACTGCCCTGTTCGGTTCATTCCCTCCGCAGCATCGGGCACTGGCCCCTGTTGGAAGACAGGATCGTGGGCTAGATGGACCATTGGGCTGACCCAGGCTGGCTGTTCTGATTGATCAGTGCGGACGCGGGGGAGGGACTGAGCAGCTCCCTGGAGTCCTGGGTCGTGTTGGCAGGGGCCACGAGACCTTCCCACGCATCACCCTGCCAACACCCCCAGTTCCAAACAGGAGCTCCCTGCTGTACCAGCCCTGGGCCCCGCTCCCAGCTCGGCCAGTGCCCTCAGCTGCAGCCGCCCCTCCCCCGAGTCCAGCCAAGGGGCTTCCCTGAGGCACACCCCTGTCAATGCACCCCACTTCAGGACTGCCCTGGGCTCCCCCTACATACAGCTTTGCTGATGCCTCCCCAAACCCAACCTGCAGCCCCCCTTGCTATTCTAGCCCTGGGAGGCCCCCTGGCCAGCTGCCCCATAATTCTAGCTTGCAGCCCCCCTGGCATGCCAGCCACAGGTGTGCCACTCCTGACCCCCAGCTCTGCCTTTGGTTTACCCTGCACTGTGAAACACCCCTAAGCAAACTGGGCATAGGAAGGCATCACCCATCGCCCCCGCCGCCCGTGCTTTTTAACCCTGAGCCGCAGCATGCAAAGGGCCTGGCCTAGGCACATGAGTCCGAGCGCAGCACACAACCCCTGGTGCTTCCTCCCTGATCTGGGGGCGGGATTAGCCCCTCGCCCGCAGCCCTCCTGGCACGGTGGGAATCACATGGCTATTAAAAGTGCTCTGGCATTGCCCTCAGCGACCCCCTTGCTCTGCAGCAGGGCCAGGCGCAGCCTGCCGGGATCTGGATTAGCTTCCTCTCTGGTGGCGAGGGCACACAGCCGTGCCCAGATCCGCCCATGGGGCATCTTTCCCTCCCTTTGGCACTTGCCGCTTGTCCAGGCACGTGGCACCCACAGCCCACATCCTACCAGGCTAAGGGGCAGCCACTCTGAGCCATGGAAGGGGGACAGCCAGGGCCCAGGCGAGGTGGCAGCCTTGTCCCTAGAACAATCACTGTGAAGGGCCCAGAGCTAAAGCTATCTCGGGGGGGGCTGCAGTTGGGCAGAGGGTGCTGGGAGCCCTACAAACCCGTCTCATGGTGCTGGGAAAGGGCCAGAGAAGCAGGGCCGGGCCCTGGGTACGTGATCAACGCTGCACAAGAGCCGGGAGAGGTTGGGGGCCATGGTTTGGTTCCCCGAGAGGATTGGAACCCTGTGTCCCCAGCAGAAGCCTCCTCGCCCGCCAGGCCATCCGTGCAGGGCAGCGGGTCAGTTCTCAAGGTTGGCTCTTCGCTCCTGTAGCTTCCGCGCCAGCTCCTCGGAGATGTCTATGGGGAGAGAGAAGGTGGGTACAGAACCCCTCCGGAGCCGGGACTAGAACCCAGGGGTCCTGACTTGCCGTCATCAGCTCTAGCCACGAGACACCACCACCTACCAAAGCTGGGACCACAACCCAGGAGTCCTGGCTCCCAGACCCCTGCTCCGGCCACACAGTAACCAGCAGTGCTACACTCAACTGAAAGCCAAGGGCAATGGGCCACAGGCAGCCCCGCCTCTTGTGCCAGGGGGCCCACTTACCTCCGCCCCACGACGTGGCCTGGCGAGAGGAGCTGCTACCATG